TATCCTTGTTTGTTATCTGTTCAGTACATTTCACTCTCACGAACTGGCGATAACACCACATTTCAAACGCATGCACGCTGTCTTCCTCTCCCTTTGTTAGACTGCCCATGACTCCGAGCCGTAAGGCCGCGGTCACACATGAAACCTTTGCACGGCTTTTGCGGAGGTGAAAAGCGTAGCTATCGCAGCCGATTTGGCGGAACACACGATGCAGCGGTCACACATACATGTACATGTAGACTACTGTGGCCCTCAACGCTCCGCTTTGGCGGAGGGAATGCAAATGTAGCACGTCCTATGAAATTCTAGATGTTATTGTCAGAGTTGAAGCGACCTTCGCTTGCACAAGTAGAGCTATCGTGGATCGCTGACAGGCTGCTGAATGTCTCCTGTCAAGTACACTCGTGGATATCGGGCACATTCACTGGCGGCCAAGTACGGGTGTATTTTGAATATTATTAGTTTAGTTTACATCAATATCAAATTCAAAATAGTTGTATAGCAGCAGGGTGTCGTTGCCTCCTCCATGATCCATCATCGACCGCAGCGACTGCGTGGATGCACCCCCGGCCAGCGTTGCCTGGCCGAATGTGACATGCGGGTGAAGCAAGTACATGAACAGCAGCACACGTGCTCAGCACGTGGTGGTGGCCAGACCGCTGAAGTCCTGGTGAGGGAGGTTCTTCATCGTTGGAAGGAGAAGGAGGGACGTCTGTTACGCCTTCGGGAGGCTGGTCAGGGTTGTCCATCACCTGGTGGCGGATGAAGCGGCTCAAAAAATTCATAAACTTACGAACAAAAGTGCGATGCGCTCTTCACTGCAGATTATAGCAATAAAAACTGCTTTATGGCAGTTTTCTAAAAAAAGTTATTGTGTTCTAGTCCATGGAGCCCGTCTAAAATGTAAGAAATTAACGAAATGTGATAGCTGAAAATTAAAATTTCACACAAAACCTCACAATAATCACAACACTTGAAATGCTGCTTTCAACTTTAACTTGTACTGCACCAACAATTGGCAACATGCATGCATAGGAAAGAAGATCACGAGGGGAAAAGGTCTTCTACATGTAGCTTTTAATTCTGTGTGTGATTATTGTGAGGTTTTGTGTGAAATTTTAATTTTCAGCTATCACATTTCGTTAATTTCTTACTTTTTAGACGGGCTCCATGGACTAGAACACAATAACTTTTTTTAGAAAACTGCCATAAAGCAGTTTTTATTGCTATAATTTCTTTTGTTTTTTCTGTCACCAATCAATGCCAATCAATGGAATGCCCTATATGAATATGTAAATGATGGCTTTCACATCATATCAAGAGGTATACCAAGAGTACATAATGGGGGTTATGTACTCTTGATTATACGCATTGATGTGCAAGCCTTTTTTTGCAGAAAATGGCACTAGCATAATGCATGTTCTTCTGCGGGGAAACATGTGAGTAGTCAGGTGGCGATACTTTTTTTATACGGAGGTCATTCTGTGCATGTTGCTGTTGCAGAATTTCATGACTCTGCCATAAATTTGTCTTGCCTTTCAGATATTTCAGATTTCCCCACCCTCGATCAGATTTATATAGAAGAAATGTAGCCATGCGCCAGGTGCGTGTCGCAGATGTTTTTGTTGATTCTGTGTTTATAATGGTTTATAATCATGGGTTATCGTGATAAGGTCATCCTGCATCATATTGCACTGAAATCGTAATCCTGTTGATGTCGATACAACTCTTGGAAGTAGTTCAATGACTTCAAACTGTTAGTCCACGATTTTCTAAAACACAGCAAAGGAGGAACAATAAACATGTATTAAAATGTAAACAATACATTGCTGAGTCCGACACCTCGTTCTAACAACTACACTGATCCTGAGGATAAAAGGGTCAAGGCTATGGTTGGAGGTACTGATACTGAGAGATAAACAAGGCACTCCATGATAATAAAATCTTACACATCTTTTGGTGAGTATGAATGATATCCAGTCGAACCTCTTTAGGATGAACACCAAGGGACCGATGGTATTTATTCTGTGAGTTTGTCTTAACCTATTTTATAATACATGTATAACCAGTGAATACAATTATTTCTCCAATAGACATACGAATAGATTTCTTCTACAGCGAAAGATTCTAAGCCACACCGACTCATCTCGTATGAAACAAAAGAGTCACTAGAGAGGTTCTGCAAAACGAAAATGCGTACAAACTTTCGCTCTACATCATGAAGTGCGAAACTTCGCAACTTTGGACGCGAAACTTGCAGGGAACGCGAAATGAACTGTTGTAGGAAATTTCGTGAGATCGGGTCATGGCGTACGTGCACTTGGCCCGCGCAAACTACGAAAATGTGCAGAACGCAAAGTTCGTGCAAAAATTCGTACACACTTTTGCAAGGACTGTCGCGAAACTTCGTTCGAATTTTTGTTTTGCAGAACCTCTCCAGTGAACCTTTCTTTAGCAACATGACGGCAACTGAAACAGCAACAGAGAAAGTACGATACATGTACTGCACATTCTTGCAAGTACTACCAAGAGTACGGGGGGTTATGTACTCTTGGTACAGTCGTCCCTCTCTAATCCGGCACTTTATAATCCAGCACCCTCGATAAACCAGCACAATTTTCAGTAGCCAAAATGTCCTCTTCATGTACATTGCAGCAGTAAATCAGATTTGTTAATCCAGCACCCTCCCTAATCCAGCAGATTTTCGTGGCACAAATGGTGCCGGATTATAGAGGGACCACTGTACTACAAACAGATTGCAGATCGTAATTCTTGCTTTGGCGGCACGAAACTTTATTTGGGGCAGTGCAATCTCGGCAGTACTCACTCAAACAGCCCAGACTCGAGTAAACAAATGCAATCATACAAGTACGAGATTTTCACGAGACGACACTGCACCCATTGGCTTGTTTCGTATGAAGCAAACAAGTTACTGAACCTCTCCACAATGGAGATTTTCCCTGATATGCGAATTTATTTGGCAAACTCGGTCAATGAGTCCTTGAACCTTTCCCTCCAGATTGGGAACTGCCAACGATAGTATGCCACTGACCAGTGCCTTACTTGTAACGACGTACTAATGTGCAATGAATATGAGTATTTTGACAACACATCTAACATAAGCCTTACCGTCGAGAAGGGGAACTCGCGTTCTTCGCACACTGTAGGCAAGGGCAAAGAGATAAAAATGGATCTAAATCCGAATAAAATCAGCACACGTTTCCGTAAATGAAAGGGTGAGCATAAGCAAATGAATCGAAGGAAACTGGTCAACTCAGAGATCGCCTGTCATTGAGTATTCCGTAAAAGGAGGCCTCGGCAGCGGAAAAGCTAAATTTAGAAAGGAGATCCTGTCAGCTTTTCCATTATTTATTGCATTCCGCCCAAAATCAGCACACTTTTCGTAAATGAAAGAGTCAACACAAGCAAATGAATCAAAGGGAACTGGTCAACTCACCTGTCATTGAGTAATATTCCGCGAAAGGAGGTCTCAGCAGCACCGAAACGAAATAAGCCAGGCCAGGAGACGAAATATCCGAAACAGCTCATGCAAGAAGCAGTTCCAAAGAAGGAAGTTCCTCGTGCATGCACATCCGAAAAGGCAACAACAAAAAGTCTGCAATGCACACGCATGCGGCCATCCGGCCGCGCGATGGTAGGAGCCATGGAGTAGCTCCGGCCTCCCTGCAGGACCAGGTACCGAGCATCTTACGTAGAAACTTACGTAGCTACGTAGACAACGTGTCTGAATAGCGGTGTCGTTAGGTAGCGCCATGTGAACACAATAATAGAAAAGCTGACAGGATCGCTTTTCTAAATCAGATGCAGAGTGCAGTCAGTGCAGATCTTTTGTTACGTAGTTTTGTATCCTTTTGTTGCAGATGTTTCTATTTGCAGAGAACGGTTCACGTGGTCCGCAGCGCTTGTGCGGCTGCTAGTAGTGTACCTATGGCCTATAGCCTAGGCTAGGTGGCTACGTATACATGATTCGAACGCTTCGCGTGCTCAGTGGCAGTGCTTCTGCGCGCGGCCGCTACTGTACTGCTACTCGTACTGATCGTGTCTGCTACCACCTACGTAACATATACATGATACACTGTTCGCACGCTTCGCGTGCTCAGCACGTGGTGGTGGTGGCTACACGATTCGCACGCTTCGCGTGCTCACAGTGCTTCTTAATTCCGGATTCCGCTAGCTACACGATTCGCACGCTTCGCGTGCTCAGTGCTTCTGCGGCCGCTAGCTACACTGTGCTACACTGTTCGCACGCTTCCCGTGCTCAGGGCAGCGCCGCTCCGCAGCGCTTCAGCGTGACACAAAAACACACGTCACAGGTGCCTCTTCTTTATAAGGAGCGTGACACACACACAGACACACGTCACAGGTGCCTCTTCTTTAAGTAAAGATATAGTTCCTGCTTTGCGTACTATTATCAGATCAGCACCATGCACTGCTAACAGGCAGTCATCCACACCGATCCGTCAAGCCCTGAAACCTTCAGTGAAGGGCAACATACCGGTAATCACATGGGCTTCTAGAAGTAGAAACAGTGCCACGGCGCACTCGGTGACTCCCGGATCCCGGGGAATCACCATCGCCATCGGTTACTTAGGTTGGCCACTGCCCTACAAGAAATCTCCGTGCTCGAGGCGCTCTGTCCCTGTCAGTCGTGCATGTAAACCATGCATAGCACTTGGCAGACAACAGACTCAACTGCACTGGCGTTGGTTTGCACCTGCCGCTGCCTTGCAGAGAGACAATGTACAGACTGTCAGTAGATCTACATCTGGAGTGGTACATGTAGTGGAGAGGCTGATCATGTCTTAGTTGACTTGTCACATACTGCACTGGCACTGTACTGGGTGACTGGGAGTCTGGGACAGCATCCTCAGCAGAACGTGAGCTGCCCAGGATGATTCATTTTCTCCCCCCAACACTGCTGGCAAGTGGCAGTGCTGCACCATGGAGGCCGTTGCAGGAGGCAGCGGCCTCAGCCCCTGCGTAAAGTGTTTAACGTGAATCCGAGTTTTGCTGCCGAAGCCGGTATAGCCGATGATCGTATGGACGACAGTGATATCGACATTGCCGCCGATAGTCCCATCGTGGCCGTGTGTGAAGAGAAGTATGCTGAGCTAGTGGCGTCCCTGCCACAACCGTTGACCGGCCGATCTCACTATGCTGCCGTTGTGCAGAGGCAAGGTGGCAGTCTGGGTGATGAGTATTCAGGTACGTTTGTGTGTGTGTGTCACTGTGTGTGTGTTGGGGGGTGCGTGGGTGCGTGCGTGTGTGTGTGCGTGTGTGCGTGTGTGTGTGTGAGTGTGTGTGTGTGTGTGTGTGTGTGTTAGCTAATTCAGTGTGTGGGTACAAGTGCAAACCATCGTTTACAACGACTAAAAAGGGTTGAGGAAAAGAAGCACTTGGAAGCTGCGTACTATTGCAGGACAATAGCGACACAACAGCCTTGCTAATCCACCTAATCATGCTTGCATGATCTAGGCAGCATGCCATGTCAGTCCTCATGTATTGATTCTTGTGTGTGTGTGTGTGTGTGTGTGTGTTTGGTGTGTCCCATATGGTGCAGTGGTATGTGCAGCGATTTCCAATCGATAGGTTGCGGGTTCGATTCCCGACGATTATGGTCACACACGTCTTTCTTCTCTTTCTTAGACTCTTCCTGACTTTTCTTTCATTCTCCTGGGTGGTTACCAACAGCCAGTGCATGCCGGAGTATGTGGTGTGATGTGTGTGTGGGAAAAAAAAAAAAAAAAAAAAAAAAAAAGAAAAAGACCAAAAATAGGGATTCACTGGCCAGAAAAAGTCACTTCAAATAGCTGTATGGTGTAGACCAGGCTGAATAGTGACGGTCAATTCTTCAGCCTTGCAAGCTGTTGAATGGTGCAATCCCAGCACAAGTTGCTATGGCTTCTGCCAATATAGGATTGCTTCTGCCAATATAGGATTGCCCTGATGTTTCTGTTGCGGCTGCCGTTGGTGTTGCTGCTGCTACTTTTGCTGCTGCTGCTGCTGTTGTTGCTGCTACTGCTGCTGTTGTTGTTGCTGCTGTTGCTGCGGCTTCTGTTGTTGTTGTTCCTTCTGCTGCTGCTGCTGCTGCTGTTGTTGTTGTTGTGCATGGACATTACAGTGGTTGCTATGGCCGGTGGTGGAGCAGTCGCCGGAATCGACTCAAGTTCAAACGACGGCGGTGGTGGCAAACCAGGCGCGGACAACGGTAGCGCAGCGGACACCGATCTGGAGTCCATCCGCGACTACCACCCGGAAGTACTCGCTAGGCGTGCGTTTGTGCGCTATCTCTACCTGCAGCTGAATCTTCTGCTGGCTGATAGGCAATCATCGCAGGACAGGTTTGGTTCAAATCACGATGGTATGATGCGAGTGGTGCAAAGGATGAACGGTATGTATGTAATACTTGTATTATTGTTATTATTATTATTCCACAATCGCAATGACTTAATGCCAATAAGCATGTCATGCGGGCAATTTTAACCAGCCATTGGACAGTTCCCTTTGGGAACTAATACGATAATTTACTTTTTACTTACTTATTGGACAGCAAATCATCCTGGCCACATGATGTGTCTTTGCAGGTGCTCATCAGCTCCAATCTTGTTAGAGCCGAGGAGCGCTAGCGACATGGTGTTGATGTCTGGTGTACTCGACCCGACCTTGCAACCAGTGTTGCCACGTGCCTGCTGGACTAGGGGATTAGGAATTTTTTTAAAGTTTCTTGGCTTACTGTTTCATGGTGAAGGTGGGCTAGGCCCGAAAGTTTGGTGAACCCTTTTTTTATTCGACTTTTGCAGCAAAGAGCCCGTGATTGAGTGTTTGATTTGAGGAAACCTCATGTGTACTCTCAGTCAACAAATACTTGGAGCTTATTTATTTTCGGCTGTTTTCGGCCTGATCCTATCTGGCTGAAAATGTGTTGGAGCCGAAATTTTGTTTTGCAAGGTTCAGTGTGACAGTGTATACAGGCAGCAGCAGTACAGGCCGAAAATTTGTTGCAGCCAAAATGTGTTTTATCCCTGGGAGGCCGAAATTTGAATGGGCCGAAAATTTGTCGACTTACAGTAAGTGACTGCAATGGAGTTTAAATAATAAAAAGGATCAACTGCGCACTCATCCTAAACACACAGTCATGAAGGCAACATTTTTGGAGTAAGTTACAAGAACGTTTTCTTGTGATAGTCATCAGAGTGCGCAGTTGATCCTTTTTTATTGCTCTACTTAAATTGGAAGTGTATTGCCAGGTGCAGACAGAATTTTTGGAAGAATTGGTAGCCGAGAGACCGTTCTTAGTGGTGTATACCGAATTTCTCCAATTATAAGTCGCACTCGATTATATGTCGCACCACCATTTTCAGGTTTGAGCAATATTGTTGCGATATACCGACTTCAGTAGTAAGTAGTATGTTCCACTGCAAGTGTATAAATCCTATTGTAGTTTCATCATTCTCTTTAGTCACGAATTCCATTGATAATTGTGACAAGAAAACGTTCTGGAATACATGATTCGTCCCCATGGTTGTGATATGAGTGCGCATTTAGTTATATTCATTGCATTATTAAGATTATTGTCTCCACGTCGCCTTTTTTCAGTAGTAAGTCCTATTATTATTATTAGACACAATCTCATAGCATGTGACAAGCATAGCTAATGCAGGGACAGAATCCCCTGAGACAAGGGCGTTGAGCCAGCCACGGCAATAGTAAGCTAGGAAAACAAAGCAAATATGAATTAAAGCAGAAATTGAATGGAAAATTACAAAGAAAAACGATTAACGGAAGTGAGCACTATCAAAATTCGTGCATCACCCAGGTATTCGAGAATGTTCTTCGATGATAATTATTGCGTCTAGTTCAGTTGTGATAGTAGATCTCTAAACTGACCAATAGAAGAACAAGTTTTCAGACCGTATGGTAATGATAACCAATGAGAGTAGCCGGAAAACAAAGGGGACTTTAGATAATGGGCTGACTTAACAAGAGGCAGGGTGAGCGCGTTACGGGTTGAGCTTGTCGAAAACCAATTGTACTTCATCATGTGTGAAGGGGTTTTATGAAGAAATATCTTATGAACCAGTGTACAGAGATGGTGCTTATGACGAACGGAGAGAGAAGAAGTGTGTGCAAGTCGATAAAGGGCATCCGAAGGAAAACATCGATCCTTGTTGTAAAGAATTTTAAGTATAAATCTATGGTGGACTTCTAATTGGCTCAGAGTTGTGTCAGAAAGGCCACACCAAGCGGTATCGCAATAGTCGAATATAGGGAGAATATAGCACTGATAAAATAATAGTTTACACTGGATGGGCAAATGAGTGCAATGTGGTTGTAGTACCCCTAAGGCTGAACTGGTTCGCTTGCATACACAGTTGACATGTGCAGCCCAAGAGAGTTTGCAGTCAAACATCACACCTAGATGTCTGTGCTGAGTAACAACACGGATAGGCATAGTCGAGTCAGGGAAGAATAATGGTTGATCAGGAGGGGATGAAGAAATATACATGGCTTCTGTCTTGTCTAAATTGGGCTGGAGTTTCCACGTTTGCATCCACATGACAGTGCTGTTGATGCGATGCTGCATGGTAAGGAGTAATTGTGCAGGGGAGGAATCAGAACAGATAAGGCCAGTGTCATCCGCATACAAACTAACATCGGGGACAACTGAAGGTAGGTCATTAACGTAAAGCAAGAATAACAAAGGACCCAGAATGGAACCTTGGGGCACTCCAGACGTTACAGGGAGGGGATCAGACAAGAAATAGAACAAGCGAACAGCCTGAGAACGAGCAGACAGATACGAGGATATCCAACGCAAGGCAGCATCCTCCACCCGGAAGGTGACCTTCAACTTGGCAAGTAAGCCACGATGCCAAACGGTGTCGAATGCCTTAGCCAAGTCGAAAAACACCATTCCCACGTGCTCCCCACAGTTCCTCTTTGTCGCTATGTCTTGGACAAGTCGAGTCACCTGGTATTGAGTTGAGTCACCACGGCAGAATCCCGACTGAGCTGGTGAGAGAGCCGGAGCGATGTGCAGGTAGAGGGAATCGAATACAATACGCTCACAAAGTTTGGAAACTGTGCGCAGCAGAGAGATGGGGCGGTAGTTTGCCGGGCAAGCACGGGAGCCTTTATTCTTGTAAAGCGGTGTCACGATGGCGGATTTCCAATCCTGTGGGAATGTACCAGTTCGAAATGACATATTAAAAATAATGGCGAGAGGATAGGCTATTGATGGTGCAAGAGACTGCAGCACTTCATTCGGGATCCCATCTGAGCCGGGAGACTTTCCACATTTCAGGCGCTTCAGATATTTCCGAACTTGAAACGTAGTGACAGTGATTGTACGGAACGGAACAGATATGAAAGGCGACTGGGACAAAGGGGGAATGCGCCACAAAGGATCATCAGGTAGCCCAAATGAGGTGAACTGAGTGTTCAGAACATCAGCTATGCTCTTGGGGGACGTGGCGACCGTACCGTCGGATGCTATCATCGTTTGGGGCATGACACGGCCGGAAGTGTGCCGCTGTGCTCGCACAAACTGAAAGAGTGTAGGTCGATTCGGTGACGTTAGTGATGCTTGGATGGAGCGTATATATTGACGATGTGCTTGCCGAGACAGGTGCTTTACAGCATTCCTTTGTCGGTTATAAGCTGCATGATTTACTGCTGTCGGATATTTTTTGTACACACTATATAGATCACGCTTGCGTTTTACAGCAGACCTGAGCTCAGCAGTAACCCATGGTGGAGATTGCATGCGGGGTCGTGGAGATGTCACAGTGTGGGTGGCTCCGAATGAAGTGAGATGCCGACGGAAGGCGGACTGGAGCTCACAATCAAAGTGATGAAGTGCGTCATTAACATCAGTGTACGAGTTCAGAGAGGACCAGTGGTAGCCAGCTAAATCAGCGTTGATTAATTGCCAAAGGTGCGAAGGTACTTGTTTGAAGCGATACAGTGAAGAGGGAGGACCAGTGGCAGAGTTGGGGAAGTAGTTCGAAATAGGGGCGTAACATAAAGTGCAAACAATCTGTATATGGTCAGACATACCCAAGGGAGGTGCTTGATCAATTGAGCGCACGAGGCGTGGTCGGTTGGTGATCACCAAGTCCAGACACGAAACAGAGCCATTAGGCGAGGAATGAGTGGGGAAGTCAACCATCTGGTGGAGCCCAAGAGCAGCAAATACTGTGCTAAGGAGATCACCAGCCTTCGAGGTAGAATCGGTGGGACACCAGCTTGAGTTGTGGGCGTTGAAATCGCCAGTCACTAGCAGATCATAAGAATCTAAACAGACTGACTGTAATGCCTCAACAAACATGTCACAAAAGTACGACAATTGCATTGTGCTCTGTGAGGGTGGTCGATACATGCAGCATAGTAAGATGGGATTCTGAGATTGAGTAGAGGGGGAGCCAAGTTCAAGCCACACAGACTCGCAGCCAGGGCGTTGAAGGTCGGCACGAGGGGAGACGTACGGAAAGGAGTCCGAACGGACAAGTACGGCAACACCCCCATACCCACGGCTACAATGTGCTGACCGATTGTCTTCCGGAGGTCGATCTCTGCGGATGCAGATATAGCCTGACAGTGAGAGCGGGTTCGAGGGACAGAGCCACGTCTCTGTTAGGCAGATTATGTCAGGCTTAGCACATTCGGCAATAACGCAGAGCTCAGACAACTTGTTGACAACAGAGCGACAATTCAGAGATACTAGGGTTAAATCACGCTGGGATTTAGGGAAAAAAGGGAACGCTGATGTATTTAGCGCTGGACATGCAATGTGTGCGGGTCGGCCAGAGGAGGGCTGAGCGGGGTAGAGCGGGCGGGCTAGTTTCGATCGTGGGGTGAATACAGGGGCGTTGGGATTTAGTCGTTGTTGCTGCATCGTTGTGTATGTTGGTTTGTTAGCATGACAGTTCAGGATTGATCATCACTGCCTCGCCGCGAAGTAGAAGACGACTTGTTACCTTGGGCATCAGCAAAGCGCCACTTTCGCACTGTGTGCTGGATGGTGGCCGGCCAGAATTTGGAGTCGAGAACTTTGTCCTCGTCCGATGTTGCCACGGTTACGCGAGCATGGCTAGTACCCACGTACGTGTTTTCTGAAATCGAACAGTTCAGTACGTCAACTTGGCGGGCCTTGCACCACGCTGTTATTGACTCTGCCCTGCAACCCGGACTGACATTTCCAACGTACAGAACAAGCTTCTTTGTACGTTCAGGCCCTGTTATAACGTTAGCACACGCGGGTCGGCTGCCCTGGGCTGTGGTTTCACGTAGCGTGACGTAACCCTACGGCGTGTGACTTCCGACCACTCTGCACCTGCAGCACTCGACCCTGGGTTGGATTGCTCAGGTGGGTGTGGTCTGGTGCCATGC